CGGCATACTTCATAGTTCTAGCTATAATCTCTGGTTATTGTTTAAGCTTTACATTGTTACATAGGTGACTGTAGGGGGCTGAACAGAACCTCTATTTAAAGAATGACAAGCATGAGGTGGTCTATTAAATAGAAGTCATAACCTCTGACTAACGATCAGACTGGAGACTTTGTGATCATAAGGTCCACGTAAATCAGCCGACGTGAGACACTCTGAGCGACATAGAATCCTAATGAACGAGTAAAATATAAAGTAGAGTTCACTAGAATAATCAAATTGGAAATGGACAAGCAACCAATTTGCATTTCAATCTAAATTCGAGGTCAATAAAATTGAGTCAGATTAGAATTTAATTTAAATTACTTTGCACACCGAAAATACCGTACAATCAAGAAACCTTCAGCCACCATTGGATACCTTCGTTTGGGCCAATTGGGTGGACCTTACAGTAGAATTGTTTATTAGATAGAGATTAATGATAAAGGTTATTAAATGACAAATGTTGATTGAAGTCCAAGCACAGGTTTAGTCATATCGCATTATTTTTTCTCAATAACAAACTTTGCTCAACTAGCATTAGCTTACAGACAAAAGTAGTTTTTTTTTTTTTTTTTTTTAAGAAATGTCTGTTTATTTATAGAAAATTTTGTATGGTTTTTTTTTGGGGGGGAGAGAAGTTAACACTTTTATTCAGCATGGATATGTTAAATTGATAAAATGATAGTAAAAACTTTTTTTTTTTATTGTTACAAAGGATTTTTATTTTGAATAAACTCTGTTGTATTGAACTTTTTATTTATGAAACAATCCTGTAAAACGTTTCACATGTTCCCAAAAATATTAAGCAGCACAAAAATGTTTCCAACATTGATAATAAATCCACATATTAGAATGATTTTTGAAGAATCATGTGACACTGAAGACTGTAGTAATGAAAATTCAGATTTGCATCACATTAATAAATTAAATTTTCAAGTATATTAATATAGAAAACCATTATTTTACATTGTTATAATATTTCACAATATTACTGTGTTTAGTGTATTTTTGATTAATTAAAACAGCCTTGCTTAGCATAAAGAGACTTAAAAAAAATTTTTTTTAAATCTTACTGATCCCAAACTTTTGAAGTCATTTATTCATTTGTTTTATATATACATTTTATATTTCGCATCTGTCAATAACCATGTCTATTTTTTCTACTTGGTTTAGGGTGACCATACGTGCCATTTTCCCAGGACGCGTCCTGGCCAGGATTTCTATATTGCCTAAAATATGATATATGTTAATATAATATAATAATGTTTGCGTGTGCAGACCGATCGGTGTATGACATCAAAATACCATACAGACGGTTCCTTGTGCTTTCAAAATGCTGTAGAGGTATTTTGATGTCATACACCGATCGGTCTGCAAACGCAAACAAAGCCAAAACCTAGATAATTTAGGCAATATAGAAATCCTGGCCAGGACGCGTCCTGGGAAAATGGCACGTATGGTCACCCTAACTTGGTTGATTAACAAAAGTGTCAACTTTCCAAAATTCAACAGCCTAGTTAATGAGAAAATATTAAAAACAAAAAAAAATTAGTTAGAGCTAGCTAAGGCTTAAAGCTGTTGCTAACCCCGTTTCTTGTGTATGGTGTTAGATTCTTTAGGAAAACCGACTTTGTGTTTGTTTGTACAGAAGTATCGTGCAGTAAACTGGTGAGAAACATCCAGGAGTCCACGGCAGGTAGCTCATCAGCGGAGGAGTGCACAGTTAGAGGAAAGAGGAAGCTGGATGAAACTTGTCAACCCATAGAAAGAGTGTCTGGTGAGTATCAGGATCTTTGCGTCATTCTTGCCACATTTTCCTCAGAATGTTTAGATCAATACTATATGAGGAAAAGTTGCAGGCTCATATCAGATGCCGACCAAGAACATTTGATATTCAGAATCCCATTGAATGAGGTGTTTTTCATGTTAGAGCATTTCTAAATGTTTAACACCTGTATTAATCTCTTAGCCTCAGATGTCTCAGAGCAAACCTCAGATGTACCAGAGCAATCTAGACCTAAGAAGAACCGCTGCTTCACTTGCCGCAAGAAAGTCGGGCTCACTGGTATGCAAACACACACACACATATATATATATATATACACTGCCTATAAAAAAGTATTCATACCCCTTCATTTTTTTTCACGTTATGTTGCTGCCTTATGTTAAACTGCTTAAATGTACTTTTTTCCCACATCAATCTACACTCCATACACCATACTGACAAAGCAAAAACAGAATTGTCACAACTTCGTAAATTAATTTAAAAAAAAAAAACTGAAATAAGTACATTGCATAAGTATTCA